CACAGTTCAAGGCGAGGAATCGTGATACGTTTCAGGGGTGCCACACGTGACTTGGCTATTAATAAGTTGACAGATATACTGCATTGCGTGTTCTCAGTTCGTAGATAAACACATCCAGCAAAACCGAGTTCACTTGCATCTGAAAATCCATGCAACTGAATATTAACCGCATCACTCAGAGACATGTACCTGCCAATCTCCAAATTTTCAATCTCATGAAGTTCGTTGACAAAAGTTGACCATCTGTCGATAATATCACTAGGAAGAGTGGTATCGCAATCTAGGTCTAGTGACCATATATGCTGCATGAGAGCCTTAGCCCAAAAAATAACAGGGGTAAGCATGCCTGTTGAATTGGCCTGAGTCTTATTCGAGGGCTTAACAGATTTTTTCATTATAGGCTGGTCCGTTTTGTAAAAATGCAGTAGCGTAAGGTGTTGCTTAAAACAAACTCGACACGAACTGGATGACTTACATGAGCCTCTGGATGACTTACATGAGCCTAAGAAATGTCGTCTTAAACAATTAACACATAGGCTATTGTTCTTAATGAAGTTGAACCTATCATGTGGTGATTAGGCACCAAAAATATCACAGCGAAAAATGTTATGCGATGCTCCATTGCAGTAAGCACAAGTATGAGCTTGTTCATTGTCATTAGAAGAAAGCATTACAACTTTGCTTGGCTTGGGACTAGTGGTTTGCCTACCTAGATAAGGCATGTTCTTACAACTTCCATAGTTTTTTAACTGAAGGGAAGAATTAGCATGTGAGGTCGAGCCTAAGTTAGCCACCTCTCTGTTGTAACACTCATTTTCCAGAAAGTTTATTATTTTTGTGACAGAAGGAACCTGTTTTGAGTCATCTCGTTTTTGTTCAAAATCTGAACGCATAGCGGAATCAAGCTTTCTCAAAATATGTGTACTTAAGATCAGGTTTTCATCAGTTATGTTATGGCCAAGTGCTTTAAGAGCTTGCTGATTTCCATTAAAAATTGAAATAAAATTCTTAAGTTGTTTAACATTAGGCTTAGTAAGCTGCGGTAGGTCCAAGATGTTAGTAGAATGTAATGAAATCAAGAGCCTTGTATTGTGGTACCTCTTAAGCAGGGTTTGCCAAGCAATTAATTACATAATTAGCACTATTTAGTGGCATAGACTTAAATAAGTTCAAAGGTTCATCTGAAAGACAGCTTATGAGATATGAGAATTTCTCGACATTAGAAATTGTTTTATTATTATGTACAGTACTTTCAAACAGGCCATGAAATGAGACCCATTGCTCAGGATTGCCAGAGAATGTTGGCAGTTTGATTTGCGGCAATTTCACAGTCAGATTAACTGCAGGAGTAGTAGGGCCGACCTCGGAAGTAGAGTCATTTAGGCCTGACTCTTCAAGCTTAACTGGTGGAAGTAACAAACTACAGTTTGACTGAATCCCAACAAAATAATCCAAAAATTTTTCTTGCAGTGAAGTAATTTTATCATCTTGAATATCTTCAGGAGTGGGAGTAGTTTGAAAAAGTTTATTTACTATTCTCTCAAATTCTGAGTGTTTGTTTATTGCACTTTGAGACAAGAGTTTAAGTTTAGCAATCTGCTGCTCGTTTAAAGCAGTCACAACCTGAATTTCTTTCAATGCATTGATTTGTTTATTTATTGATTCAAGCCTAGCTTGAATAAGCTCACTCTGTTTGGTGAAGGAAGAAAACCTCATGTTGAAAGAAAATTACCTCATGTTGAAAGAAAATTAAGCATAGGAAATATTCAGCACAAAACAAATCTGCAGTAATGATAAGACAATAAAATATTATTTGACTTTCCTCAATTTAATCAAATTCTCAAATGCACAAGTTAGGCCTATAGTCTGCTTAGGCTATGGGCAGCACAGACAAAAGCAACACTGCATAGTACAACTTAATGGTCTGCTATCAAATGCATTATTAATAAGAGATGCTTTCTTAACAAAATAGGTTAACTATTTATACCAATAATCCAAACTATTTTGTGGCTTAAATAGTTTAAGAAATATTTCCAAATATATGTGCAGTATAACTTACGGTCCACGAGGATGGAGAAATTGTATAGTAAGTTCTTTTTCAGAGTGGTTTTTAGACAAAACACAAGCTATCATACTACAAAATACAATGGCAGGCATAGGCCTATATAGCATACTGATTGGTAAAATGTATTCAATGTAGTTATTATTTTATATAAAAATATATATATTGGCCTTGTTGAAATTGTAAATTTAATTATACATCTCATTATTAATTGCCAATATCTCCAATATATGTTATTATTATTAGGTATAGTTTATTTTACTGCACTATAATACAGATCATTCTTTATAATTATGTATTTTCGCAATAAATTTTTCTTTGCTCAAACCTAATTAAGATTACAGTACTATGTTACGTCATGCATCTATAGTCAATAAAAACTTCATTTTACCTGTTTAACTACACAGTAGTATTTTTTTTTAAATATGATCCCATAGGAGTACCATAATGAAATTTGGCACATGCACTCTTATTTTCCCCCCAAAAATTTAACATTTCGATTTTAAGATTTTTCAAAAAAACTTCTTTTGTTTTTTTAAGACATTTTTTATTACTAAGCTAATATAGTCAAGTGACATATCAAATTGTAGCTCTTGAAATTCTAAAGATAATGGTGAAAGTTTGAACTCTCTAAGTTAAATGGTTTTGTAGTTAGATGTATTTAAAGATTTCCAAACGCGTAAAAAATCAGCCGATTTTTAGATTTTCAAAAATTTATAACTCAGAAACACTTTATAACAACTTTATAAAGAGCTTAAAAAAACTAATAATTTAGTATACCAAAGTGTTTTTGTACGGTGATTGGTTACGGAGAAAATTAAAAAAAAATGTTAATTTTAAATTCCCATGTTCTTTTAATGGAGAATATTGTAAAATGTTGTATAAATTGTGGAGAAATTTTGATCAAACTTGCCGAATTTATTTATTTCATTCTAAGGTATTGATATTTAAAAAAAAAAACATACTTTATTAGTTTCCCTGTAGCAGCTAACCTAGGTACTCGTTAAACATGAATGTTAATTTAATAGATTAATTGAAAATCAAACCAGGCAAATGGAAATTCGCAGGTTTGCTGCAGCGGGGGCATTTTACTTTGAAATGGCCCTAATGTGGAAACCCGGACAGTATTCACATTGTTGTTTTCCTGGTCACAAACAAGTGCACGAATATTTAACACTGTTCTGCCCACCTCTTGAACCACGTCAACAATAATATTTGACAGCAAACTACCTTCAGTGGGTCTACCACTCAAGTAGTATGCAATGGGCATTTTCCATTTGTGGAATATAACATGTGGCCAAACTCGTGCATAAGTGTGAATTGACTTGGTTGATTTACAACGTGCCATATAGTTGTATCAGTGTGTCATCCCCATGGCCGATGGCGAGTCACGTACTCCGAACCACTCCAGGACTGATGCCGACCAAGGCAGGTGGAGATAAATAAGTTACAGTACATAACAAGTTCAGGCATTAACAAAAAATACCCCAGCCCCGCAGCAAACCTGCAGACTAAGCAAATTTCCATTTGCCTGAATTGATTTTATAAATTAAATCTATTTAAATAACATCAGGTTTAATGAGTACCTAGGTTTGCTGTTATAGGGAGGCTAATAAAGTATGTCTTTTTAGTAAAATATTAGTAGCTTAGTATAAAAAAAATAAATTTGCCAAGTTTGATCAAAATATTTTCATAAACAAGCAAACTACAACATTTTACAATATTCTCTAGTATAAAAATAACATTGAAATTTTAAATTTACAATTTTTGGAATTTTCTCTGTAACCAATAACTGTACAAAAACCCTTTGGTATGTTAAATTATTTGTTGTTTTTTTACTCTTTAAAATGGTCTAGAGAGAAATTGGGAAATTTTGTGTCAAAAATGAGAAAACCCTGTTTTTACCCCATAAAACCCCCTGTAAAACTCTGTTCCTGTGGTCTGATCATGCTGGTTCGCAAACTCATTCAAGTTTATCCCGCCTTACACCTTCAATCCAAATGTCATAAAAATATTCTCTAGTATAAAAATAACATGGACAATTTTAATTTAGCCTACAATTTTTGGAATTTTCTCTGTAACCAATAATTGTACAAAAACACTTTGGTATGTAATTTTTTTTTTAACTCTTTAAAATGGTCCAGAGAGAAATTGGGAAATTTTGTGTTTTGAGGGTCAAAAATGAGAAAAACCTATTGTTACCCCATAAAACCCCCTGTAAAACTCTGTTCCCATGGTCCAATCATGCTGGTTCACAAACTCATTCAAGGTTATCCCAACTTACACCTTCAATCCAAATTTCATCAAAATCAGACAAAAATTACTCAAGTTATCGCGTTCACAGACGTATAGATATACACGTATAAAAATTTGAAGGAATAGTGTTTTTTGCCTCTGGGGACTGGAAAATAAAAAGGATACCGGTCCCGGCTCCAGGTCTTACCTTGCCACCTACGGGAATAGCTATTTCGCTATAGGGAAATTTGCTAAAAAGCAAACAAGTAGCAAAGCTCATTTAGATGGCACAGCGAGGACAACGGTATAACTATCCTACAGAAAATAAACACAAAATGTAATCATCATTAGATGTGATCACCGATGTGCCTGTGATTGCAGGAAAGTAAGTATCATGGATTTCGCTGATAAGGTTTTCAAAGCAGGTATACACAAGCAAGTTTTGCTATTTTTGAGCGGTAATCTTTATCCTAGAAAGTTAAAATTTTTGAGCCTGGAAAACCTTGAATTGTCCTTAAATTTTATCTTGATGGGGCACTGGACACCCAGATTTTCAATTCTTTTATTGTGTTTCTTATTAGATTCCACTGTATTTTCAGTTTTTAACTCTCATCAGCGTACGCTTAAATATTTAATTTTTCTTCAATAATTATTCCACTATGTTCTGCACTACATCTATTGAGACTATTTATTACTTGTGCAGGTGTACATGTTGACCAAAGAAGAAGGAGGCCGTACCAAACCCATCACACAGGCCATCACATTGTTGATGTTCTCCAAGACATGGGACTCTCCTGCAAAGATCAAACTGTCCAACAAGGAAATGTTGATGCCAGGAGAGGACGCCAAGTATGTAATTAAGTTTTTCATTTTTCTTTTTATATTATCAAGTTCAATGTTTCCCAACTAGTTCCATTTGCGTGCCACTTAATAAGACAAATAATTATCTTAATTAGTGATGTAATGATATCAAAAATTATCAATTCTCAATACTAATACCTTTTTTTTATTGTTTCGCCAAATTTTCTGAATGGATTTGTTATACTACACCAACCCATGTCTTTATATACTTCCATTAAGTATTTTTGAGATAGAATGTTTTTCAAGTAAAGAAAAAAATGTACTGTAAAAACTAAAAAGTTACAGCAATGATACATTCCAACTAGCCAATTTAAGTTTAAACCCTTCCAAGCACATTTAAAAAACTGCCATATAACATTATGAAGATCTAACAACAATAAAAATCAAAATGAAAATAATATTATAGGCTAGAGGTGTGCTAGCCAGTCAAGCCAAACTCAAGGTAATATTGTGATGATCGCCAGCAGGCGGGTGGATTTTATCTTCTGGGATCACTGCGAAATCCAAAATATATTCCTGAACTACGGTAACTTCATCACTGTTTTTCGCGGTCGTGGAAAAATCATGAATATCTCCTGGGGCATTAACATTAACTCCCGCGGTCACAGAAATGTTATTGTCGTCTTACGTTCGCGGCAAAATCATTTAACATCACCTAGCCTTGTAGACATCTAGGGGTGTGCGAAGCAGCAAAAAATTTTCGATTCGAAGCAACGATTCGATTCAAAAGATTTTCGATTCGATTCGATGCAACTCGATTCGAAGCAATACGGTATTTTTCTATTCATAATTGTCAATTGAGTGGATTAACAATAATTAAAATGTATCACATTTGTGTAATACAAATTTTTGTTGATGTGGTATTAGGCCTATTTCATACTTAACATATGAATTTTAGGTGAAAAAATATTTATTTTCAATCATATGTATTAGAATAACTGCTGGAAATACCAGTGAGCTGCTTTACTTGCCTATTTCATAATTTTTACTTGAATTGGCTCAACTGCAAGAAAGAAGAAAATATTTTTTTTATCAAGACATTCATTCTCATTTTAATAACTGTTTAAATAACTAAATAGGTGCCGGTAGCTAAATTACAACAAATTTGAATGGAACTTAATATAAAAAGACCATTAAGAAATAAATTTACATATCACAAGTTTAGGGCCTGTGGACCGGCTTCAGGACTGCAAGCAAGAAGAAAATAAAAATAATATGTTTCCACCATGCAATATGTATCATTCATTCCCTGCCTCCTAACCTCCTTAGTATAATAACCTCACACTTACATTATTTGTTACATCATCATAAATAAATAATTATTATTGGCATCAGTAGGCCTACAGCTTTACCTAGGCATTATTTTTATAGGGCCTAAAATGGTAATAGGCTAGAAGCAACATGTCAAGTGGAGAACTCATTGAAGAAAAGATATTGTGTAAACTAATCTATATATATAAAAGGCAAAGCCCTCACTGACTGACTGACTGACTGACTGACTGACTGACTCACTCACTCACTCATCACTAATTCTCCCACTTCCCACTTACCTAGAAGGCTGAAATTTGGCACACTGATTCTTTAGGCATCAAATAGGAAAACTGAGTGGTTTTTATTCTGATCGGACTCTCGGGCTCCGCCCCAGTGGCTCTGGAGTTTCCCATGTTAACCTAATGAGTACTCATATTTAAATGGAATTAATGAATCATAACAGCTGTTTCAATTAAACAAGTTGGTTCTGTTCTGTGATGTTCAATAACATTAAAGTTACTAGGATTACCAACAGAGTGCAGCACTATTATTTTTTTTTATTTATGACAACAGCTAATTTGCAACCAAAAGGTGAGTGAGCGCAGCGAACGAACTTCAACCCGGAGGCGAGTTAGCGTAGCGAACGAGCTAACCTGAACCTGAAGGCAAGTGAGCGCAGCGAACGAGCTCCAACCGTAAAGGTGAGTGAGCGTAGCGAATGAACTTCAACCAGGACGTGTGAGCGCAGCGAACGAGCTCCAACCTAAAGGTGAGTGAGCGTAGCGAACGAACTTCAACCAGGACGTGATTGAGCCATGCGAACGAGCTCACATATGAAGTTAAACGGGGCAAAGCCCGCGGGTACAGCTAGTTTCCTATAAAACTCAAAAACAGTAAATAACATACAAACATTGTTTATGGTATAATTAATAAGGACTAAAAAATGCATATCATGTCATACAGTAGTATAGACCTACTGCAAGAGATTAAAATCCTTAAACAACTGATTTTGATAGCTAATGAATGAAAAGAATTAAAAATCCATCAAATAAAGCCAAACAATATCACAACTAATTAGGTACCCGAAAAGTAACTCTTAAATAATATATAGAAGATTAAAATAATATTAAATCAAGAGACAAGAAAGTTAAATGCTATCTTCTAGCCTAGTGCCCTTGGCAACACAGGTCAATGTTTTTAAACTACCCTCAATGTTTTTGGAACAGCAGGGCCTTTTTCTCTTAAGGAAGGGTAGTAGTATGTCAACAAAAACAATGAATCAGTCTCACCAGCCAGGCCCGGGCAACGATGTGTGAATTCAAGGTCATAGACCCTCCCCCTCCCCTCTTACACCACCCGGTTGCTACCCAGTTGTCCCAGTTGCTTCAATTGCTGACAAAATGCAAGTGATGAAACAAGGAAGTAGAGACAAAGAAATATATTTCTTTATTCAAAAACACAAAACTGTTAGAGATATTTTCAAAGAAATTAATTCAATGTAATTTGTGAGTTGTAAATATTGTATTGGATCTTAGAAATATATTTTTTTAACCCCATCTAACCAAGATACAGATCTGTTCACTATATCAGATATTTCTTTTGTTTATAATTTATTATGTAAAATAATAAAATATATTTTTAATTAGGTATTGAATAAACAATAAATGATTATACTAGTATGTCTGGATAAATAGTCTTTCTATTCTTTTGACTTTGTTTTCTTTGCACTGTTAGTGTTGCGTCACGGCTTTTGTTACTCTTATCAGTAGACGACTAGACCTGGCTCTGGCTAGTGGCAGTGCGGCAATTGCTCTGTTGTGTCTTTATTCTTAAAGGTCGTGAGCCAACTTAATTTTTAATTCTCATTTGAACATTTTAATTCCTCTGTAATAATAGATATAATAATATAAGAGTGTTTCTTTGGAAATAAATTATTCTTTTTTTTTTCTTTTGCCCCAACAAAAATTCGGGGACGGGGACCGGCAGACACCTAACAAAAATACCAAATGAATCAGTCTATAACATTAATCTTACTAGTTAAGTATTAAGTAACAATTTTTCAGACTTATTTTTAAAATGATTTTGGAGTAACCTACCTTGTTTTGGCTAGGTTCACAGTAGTAAAATATTTCACACTCTGCTTACATCAAGACAAAAAACAAACCTCTAATCATTTGCAATGTCAAAACAAAAAAATATAAAACAATTAAAGCTATATTTAATGCAAAGAATGTATTAAATAAGAACGCCTTCGTAAAGGAAACGCAACAGCAACGCGCTCCTGTATTGCGGGTATTGCATTGACTTTCTGCAGGCGTTTTTCGTATATGGATACTGACTCCCTCGTGAATCGAATCGTTTTTTGACCACCACTGAATCGAATCGCGATTCGATGCATCGAATCGAATCGAATCGAAATTTCGATGCATTTTCGATGCATCGCACACCCCTATAGACATCATTGACTCCAGCGGTCACAGAAACGTCATTGTCGTTGTCCGTGATCGTGGCAAAATCATGAACATTTCCCGCGGCCCTGCAGATGTCATCAAAGTCTCCTGTGGTCAGGAAAATGTCATCGTCGTCGTCCGACATCGCAGTAAAATCATGATCATCTTCTGCGGCAGTGCAGACATCACAATTATTTGACTCAGATTGCTCATATAATATTTCCAGGACTATTGATTGATCAACATTTATCTTGGTTCTTCCATGTAGACAAATTAAAAAATAAAATCTCCCCTGGTCTATTTATGTTGCGCAACTTGTTCAAATTTTGCTCCTTGGATGTTTTATTGAAGGTTTACTATGCTCATATAAACTCGCGTGTATCGGTATTGAACTATATGGTGCGACGACCGTTCAAAATTTAGATGGCATATTAGTTTTATAAAAAAGAGCATACATATTATGTTTAACTCAGATACCAACCAATCGATAAAACAGCAGTTTGCTGAGTTGAATATCTGTATGGTGTATGGATTGTATATTTTTAAAACTATAATGACTCTAAAGACTGAAATGAATACGAATACAATTCCAATATTGGGAGCCTCACATAACTAGTAACTACAATACTCCACATCGTAACAACCCTGCCATCCTGAGACATAATTTAGAGTTTACAATAAAAAACCTACAGCTGCAGGTTTTAGGTTCTTTTACTCTCTGCCAAAAGACTCTGTAAATAAATAATGTCAAGATCTTCAAAAATAAATTGAAGGTACTCGATTAATGAACATTTTTTATAACTATTTCTATATATTAAGTTGTTGATGCCATTTTGTATTTAATTACTACGAAATGTTAGCCCGTCCTACGTACGAGAGTAGTCAGTTAAAACTGTATATAATTCAGAACAGCTAGATTACTTGCATAAAAACAAATTTTATTGCAGCCTACAGTATAAAGAGTAATTATCAATTGAGAAGTGTATAGGCCTAGTCAACGATATCCCCTTCCAATTTCATCGCATACCTGCCTCTTCCTTAATCAATATCACCACAATACAATTACTCATACTATACACAATTTCCAGTGGGTCTGAATAGAAACTTCCTAAAATAAAACGAAAACATCCAATAAAATTCACAGTACACATAATTATAACGTTAGTGTCCCGACATCATTAAACTAACTGTCCACACATATCCTTTATATCAATTTCACTGCATCAATTGCTAAATAAATAAGTGTAAACAAAGAAAAGTAAAAACAACAACATATAGTTTGTTTTGTAAACAGCTGAGTCAAAAATAAAATAATATTCATAAAAAAAAGAACTGGTCACATGTTGAAGGAATTTAAAACGTAAACACGCTAGTAAAGCTAGTGACGTAATTAATTGTCTATGTTTATTATCCATACCGTTATCAGTTCTAATATCCTTGATAATTAAACCACCCTCATTGAATCGATGTACATCGTAACCCCCCATATTCATTTATTTAAACTATAAAATATTCAGCGCCTCCAGACGTAACCACAACTAAACACACGCCAAACAACTTTTTTAAACGTGTAAAAAATGGATTTTCCTACTCTTTCCTAAAAAAGTTGACCAGTATAATAATTTGCATATCCTTTGTTTAAGACTCATGTACAGAGCCTCAACTTGTATACATCGATGGTGTTACTTTTCTCAGTGGTCTACTAATCTTACTTATTTCCTAAAAATCAATGACAAATCAGAGTAAATAAAATAACCTCATAATTCTACTGGTTCTACAGAACATTTTTATATCCAACCAGCTGTTCGTTAAAAGAAAATTATATTGCACTAAAACAAACCGAAGAGTACAAAGATTTATTTAAAAAATCCTTTGAACATCCTAGTATTTTACCTATGTATATTTAAATAATCTGTCATCCTCTTATCGAAGGATTGAATGTATCAATGATTAGCATTACGCATGGTATAAATAAGTCAACCCTTAGTATGTCTTTTAATTTTTATCCAAATGCTGGATTTGTGTTACAAACGCTGAATGTTTACAGCTGTTATGTTAAACAAATTATATTACACCAAAAGCTAGTTTAGAATCTTAGCGTCGGCTGCTAGACTTTTCAAAAATTAAAACTTAATTTCTAAATAACTGGGACTCTAAACTAAAATTATGGCTTCGAAATTCCCTAGTTCTCAAAATTATCTTTCTTTCAACACAAAAATCATGAAAATCCGTCGAGTGGTTGATTCAGAATCGTGAAATAAACAAACCCTGTTTTGTTTTAATATTATAGATCTGTTATAAATCATTAATAAAGCATTTCCAATTCTGATTCAAACCAAGTACCTTTTACTGAAAAAAACTACAAAAATTAATATAAGTTGTGTTTTTATTTAGATTGGAACTGAGGTTGTGGAAGCAGGTTGTGATGGAGCAAGGTCAGAGGTTTACCTTGAGAGACGGAAACACTACCTGCGGCACTGGCGTGGTCACCAAGGTCCTTCCCCCTCTGACTGAAGAAGAGAGGAGTCAGTTCAAAGAGACCAAGAAACAGAGAGAGAAGAGGATTGCAGCTGAGGCAAGCGGAGGGGCTTAGTGGTCAAGAGCAAAACTTAGCTTTTAAACCCAGTGACGCAAAAGACTGGTCTACCGCGTCAAAGCAATCCCATGGTCATTGCTTGCTACCAAATGTAATTTAGTAATTTGTTTTTTTGTAAAAATACTTAAATGTGTTAATGGTTTGGTTTTATTCTCCCTTAACTTGTAAGATTTTGAATCTGAATACATTGAGGAAAAAGGATTGCATACATAAAAAACTTTTCTTAGAAAAGAGGTATACGACACTTAATATTACGCCTCTTCAAGGGAGTTCTTAACAAGGAAATATGGAATGTTGATCACCATACCATTATATAAAACAAATCATAGATATAATCCAAGTAATTATTATAAACCAGTAGCTCTTTTACTAATTTACTCAAACATACTTTAAATACCCCCGCCGCAGCAAACCTGCAGACTAAGCGAATTTCAACTTGTCTGATTATATTTCTACTAAAATATTTCCATAAATAAGACATAGGTTATTTATTCCCTATTTAAATAACATTAGATTTAACGAGTGCTTAGGTTTGCTGCTACGGGGAAGGTAAAAAGTGTTTTTTGACCATACGTCAATAGTATAGGATGAAATAAATAAATTTGCATAATGTTATCAATATATATCCATAAACAAGTAAAGTACAACAATTTTCATTTTCTCCATAAGAATAACATGGGAATTTTAAATTACACTATTTTTGAATTTTCTCCGTGACAGTTAGGCATACAACAGTGCTCCGATATACTAAATTATTTCTTTTTTTAAGCTCTACAAAACGGTTTAGAAAGAAATTGCAAATTTTTTTGTTTTTAGAGTCAATCTCATAATCAATATTTCAATCATATTTCAATCTCTAAAAACCCATTTTTACCCCATAAAACCCCCCATAAACCCCTGTTCCCATGGTCCGATTATGCTGGATCGCGAACTCGTTCGAATAAATGTAGGTTTACACGTTTGTACCAAATTTCATCAAAATCGGATTATTTTTGCTCGAGTTATCACGCTAACGGACACACACATATATATATATATATATGAATTTGAACGGATGGTGTTTTTGGCCTCTAGGGACCTCAAAAAAAAAAAAAAAATCGGTCCCGCGTCCAGGTCTTACCATGAGTACTACGGTAATAGCTTATTCCCTATATGGGAAATTCACTAAAAAGAGTAAAAGTTAGGTTGATAAACCTTTTGAATAAGCAAAATTTCTTTGTAAAAAAAAGCAATATGGATTCCAAAGAAAATAAACGCTAGTTCCGCCCTTTTGAGTATATGTCAGACATTTACACTAATATGTACAGGGTGTCCCTTAAGTAAACTGCCAATCTCTGGGAAATGGTTCTATGTGTCAAAGTAAAGAGAAAATCAAGAATAACAATTTTGCCAAAATCACTTCGTTAACCAGATATCCGCCATTTTATTTTTTTTACATAACCATTCTTATCTTTGTATTTTTCAGCCAATCATTATGAAACTTTGGTATGTATGTTAAAGTAAAACAGACCCACATCAGAAAATTTTTTATCTTAATCCAATTTAAAATAAAAAAAAAAATGCTTATTATTTTTAAAAATATCAAGGACACTTTCGTTTAGCATTTAAAGTTTCCTATCTTAAATACTGGGCTTTTTGATTAAACGTGGTTTGGTCAAGCAAAATTCAGTGTTTACCCAGCCTTTAATCAACCTAAACCATAACATGAGTGAGATAGCTATGACAGTCTAGAGGTGCTACATATATGCAGAAAAGGTAGTAAACTATACATGCTAGAGGAATTTGAAATTTACGAATTATACCTTGACAACACCGCCAGTGGACATATCCTCAACAAAAAACTGCAGTTCCAGTCACACTCTATTTTCAATGTCCTAATAAACAAAAAACCGGCCACCTAAACTTTTGCCTACTGATAACATGGACAACAGCGAGGAAGAAGTCTGACACTGCAGTCTACTACCTGCGCCGGGACTGTCTGTGTCGTGTGTGTGTCAATCAATGTCAATTAAATGTTTGTTTTCGTGTATTTATTGTGAGCGTGTGGCATCGATGTCTTATGTTTTGTAACCCCGACGATGCCGCATTTACGGCGAAACGTAGGTTGTTAACCTGACATCAACTTTTGGATTACTTGACTAGGTATTGTACCATAATTATTACATATTCAATCTAACAATATTACCCTACAAGTATTAATATCTGTAACTGTCAAGACATTGAGTAAGGAGGAACTCAAAAGTATTTAAATTTGTACTTGGACAACCAAATTGTAAATAACATATTGCAGCATATTTAAAACTAAAATTAGTCAAATACATCCATATATTCTACATGTTTAGAAGCATGATGTTATAAACATCTTCTGAGATCAATATACTTATTTTTCATTCATAAATTCAAAATTTGAATATGGCATAGAAATCTGGGGTGGTGCATATTTCATCACATTGAAACCAATTAAATTACAAAAAGCCTTTGTCATAATTATATTAAATGAAACAAAAACTAAACCTTCTCTCCCTATTTTCCAAAGTTTACAGTAGTTTACGCAACAATTGCGTAAAGATAGTGTTAACGACACGAGTAGAAAATTTGCCTTAAAAACATCTACTTATCAATTATCAATTAGATCAGAACTCCACTATGTGCGTAATTTAACCTAGTTGGAATAGGTTACTTTTTCTCTCTCAATCCTTGAACCACATTGGTCCGTTACCAGCTAGTGTTGTTATGAGTAAAACTATGCTGTTTTCAAAGTAAACAATGCTGTTATGGGAAATTCAATTCTAAAAACTAAACTGAAACAGCTACTTTATAAAATGGTAGGTAAAATATTTTGCCCTTTAGAAACTTTAACATTTTTAATTTTAAGGTTTTATACAAACAGGATGAATCAGAGCTTATATTACATTGAAGGAATGGGGGTAAAATGTTCTGCTGTGACAGCCAGGCAGTTATTAAGCATACATATAAAGGGTGATTTTTTTATTGGTGCGGTTTTTAAAACTAAATAAACAAATGAAAAACAACCTGCATTGACATAAAAATGCATTTATTTGAGCTACAGTGTCATGACATTAACGTTTAAAAATGATTTCTGGCATATGGGCTCCATTCCGTTCGCGTAGAAAGCCCAATCGAGAAGTCCAATTTTCGAATACTCTTTCCAGCAGCTGTGGTTGAATTCCGCCAATAACTCGACGTATGTTAGCTTCCAAGTCATTTAAAGTTTCAACACTATCGGGCAATGTTACGGGACTTTTTCGTTCCTCAGCTAAACGAACTTGAAGTGGATTTAGAAAATGTCTGGTTCCAACAAGACGGTGCGACGTGCCACACGGCAAACGACACAATTGGCCTCTTGGCAGAAACATTTGGTGAACGTATCATCTCATTTAGAGGTAGTGTCAACTGGCCCCCACGGTCGTGTGATATCACGCCAACAGACTTCTTTCTGTGGGGATATGTTAAGTCTGAAGTATACGCCGACAATCCACAAACTTTAAATGTCTTGGAAGCTAACATACGTCAAATTATTGGCGGAATTCAACCACAGCTGCTGGAAAGAGTATTTGAAAATTGGACTTCTCGATTGGGCTTTCTACGCGAACGGAATGGAGCCCATATGACAGAAATCATTTTTAAACGTTAATGTCATGACACTGTAGTTCAAATAAATGCATTTTTATGTCAATGCAGGTTGTTTTTCATTTTTTTATTTAGTTTTAAAAACCGCACCAATAAAAAAATCACCCTATATATATACCTATATTTTTTTTTTTGTATCATGGGTACCAGCCCAAAGCCCAGTTTTGGTTATAGTATTGGTAATAATAGGTCAGTGGAAGGTGTCGCGCTAGCCAGCATAGTCTTGCAATTTATTTGGGTTTTGTTGAGTCGTTGAGTGTCACAAAGTATTGGGTACATCGATTTCTACATCACGTTCGGTTGTTTTGATCGTGGCATGGAATGTGTGGCCTGATTGTTCTGCTGACATGATGTGTCATCATTCTGTGTGACGTGTAGGACCCCCTGAACCTGGGGGTGGTTGGTTAGTCGGGTTTGAAGAGTCCATGAGCCGCAGTTACGCGCTATCTTTCCCTCCCCTGTGGGGGTGGGCATGTCCGCTTCCCAAATATGTTCACTTTTGAATAGGTTAGGCCTATTTCAAATAGTATATATTTTCAATTGATAGAAAATGCTTTTACGCACACAGGTAGTCAGCCTGTAGTGTGAGACTCCTGAAACTATCACAGACTACTCACTAAAAAACCCCCTCTACTTTGTTGGACATAGACCTGGAATTGTTTGTCACATTACTTCAAGTCAGGCCAACATGTGACCTAAGCACTCAGGGCTCTCACCGTTTTTGGCATTTAGATACTTTATGACCTACACCGCATCCCGGTCAAGGTCGAGCTTCTTGGCGCGGAGAAGACCCTGGATGTAATGTGACACACAGGTCCAATTGTCCTCACCCTCTGTCATCATCGGTATGACCGTGTCCACTGACAGCAGTCCTACTAACTGTTGAGCCTCCAGGCGGGGCCTTTCCCAAAGCTGGCAGTGGAAAAAGGTATGTTCCATGTGATTCATCGCGAATGCCTGGGCAGTATATGCAATCGGGTGACACGGCTTTGCCCGTCAGAAATTGGGTGAGTAGAAGTCCACCTCTCCGCACCGCCGATTAACCCAAGGTTGGACTTGCTGTATCAATCGCCTGGTCCAGCGTCTCCGAGTCTCCTGTTCCCAGCTCTCCTGCCACAGCTGGTAGGTGCGGGTGCGTTCCTCTGTTCGTGCCTGGTCCTCCCCATGGCGCTGATAAATTGCCTTTCTCTCCGCCACCAAAAGTTTGACGGGGATGACTTTTTTTTTTTTTTTTTTTTATTATTCTTTGTCATGAGAGCCGAAGCCCCCTGACTACGTACCCGGTACCTGTCGTGAGACTTAACCCGGGCCCCATGATGTAGGCCGAAGCTTACGCATCAACCTTAGCACATCATGGGCGGATGACTTAAGGTCATCAGGCTCGCCGGCTGCCGAAGCAGACCCTTCGGAAAGAGGGTTGCCCCTCAATCCTAACCAGGGATTCCGGCTGCTTGTTTAAGCGTCACTCCACCTGGGTTCCACTAGG